AAGAAGGTGAATTTCTCATTATAAGGACTTCAGTTCACAGTAGTTGGCAGTACTGGGAGACTACGTTGGGGAAGAAAAAAAAAAGTCAGCTTCTACCTGTACTCAAAGTCCTTATTCCGACAGATTCACCTTTTTGGCCCTCATACATGCTACCCACTCTACGGCCACTTTTGACGGCCACTTCTGACCGATAGAAAGTGCCGGCAAATGTTTTGAGCGTTGTGTTTCCTGCATCATGAACGTGTCGCATTGTGTTGTGCAGTTGTCGTCGCTGCTGTCCCAGTTCCAGTACTTTGTGTGTCCGGTGGGCCTGAGTAGCGAGAGCGGCAGCTTGTTCACGGTGGAATGCGAGCCGTCCGACCTGTTTGTGCTGCAGCAGTACAAACTGCCCGCGCTGGTCCGCAACGCGCTGCCGTGGGTGAGCTCCTCGCAGCGGGCTGCTCCTCTGCCACACGTTGCGGTATCGCTTTTTTGGCGGGCGGAACTGAACTTGTTGACAGTGCTCCTCATATCTCTTGGATAGAATGAGGAATGGACAATAAAATGGATGGGGGGGGGGGATCAAATGATCAGTCAAAAAGTACTGAAAACAAAACACACAGAAGGTAATGGGCACATAAAAATAGAATAGAAAGAATTTTAAACTTTAGCAAATAGGTAAAATACTTGAGTTGCTAAGTTTACCAAAGTAGATATACTTGAAGTAAACAGAAAATGTAATTAAAACAAATGTTTTGAATATTTAAAATGATTAAGGTAACATTTTTTTTCAAATTCAATTTAAAAAAAGATTAAAATTGAGTCAAAGCAAAATATTTCAATGTCATTTATTCATTTCATCTTTTCGGGTAAATATTGATTTTATTAATGAAATAATTTTTGGTTCTGTTTTTTTGGCTGGTCTTTCTTTATCAGGAAACGGTGACATTGTACCCGTTCCAGATCCACAGCATTTTCCTGTCATCCTTCGCGTCGCTCATCGGCCCTTTTGGCGGCTTCTTCGCCAGCGGCTTCAAGCGAGCCTTCAAGATCAAAGTAAGTCACCCGCTCGCTCGGTCTCGTGCCGTTACGGCATTAAGCGTTGAGTCCGGTGTCAAGTGTTGTGGTGCTGAACGTCATCGCCACGCTAGGATTTCGCCAGCACCATCCCGGGACACGGAGGCATCATGGACCGCTTCGACTGTCAGTACCTGATGGCCACCTTCACCCACGTCTACATCGCCAGCTTCATAAGGTCAAAGTCATTTTTATTCAGCAGCTTGAAATTTGGTCGACGGGTCTGTCTTAAGAAGGCCAAAAAAAAAAAAAAAAAAAAGTCTCAAGAAGCCATGTCTTGGAAAGACACACAGTAAATCTGCCATTTTGATTTGAGGGGACTAATTTAGGCTTGTTTTTCTGACATTTTCAGGGGTCTTCAAAAGATGACCTCGAGAGTGTTATTTTATTTTAGCTTTTTATTCCACACGAAAAATGTGTTTCATTTAACAGCAGGAAATTTGGTCGACATGTCTGTCATGAGAAGACCCACCAAAAGTCTGAAGAAGCCGTGCACTAATAGACAGGAAGTCCGTCAATTGGGTCGAATCCTCTTCCTTTTTGTTCCAGGGGCCCCAATCCCAGCAAGGTCCTGCAGCAGCTGCTGATGCTGCAGCCGGAGCAGCAACTTAGCATCTTCAACACGCTCACCTCGCACCTCAAGGACCGTGGCCTGCTGCCCCCCACGGCATGAAGGGGGGCTGACGCAAGAGTGCGTGTGTGTTTGTGTGTGATGGTAAAACTACGTACACGACATAGACACAATAACAACACATCTTGTGTGATCCTGGTAACTCTTCATCCGACTTGAAAAATAAAAAATGGAGGGAGAGGGGGGGAAAATGTAGTCTATAAAAAGTCTTCCGCCGGTTTTGGAGCATTGCATCCGACCGCCATCTTTGACCAGGAAGCGGTCAAAACCCACGTTGCACTGACCCGCCAATGAATCAAGTTCGTCGGTTAGCGGCCTATCACGCTCTAACCAATGACGCCCGCTTTAGCCCGTGTGCCCTTAAAGTCAACAAAGTAGAACACACACATGCTACATGCTAATGTACATAAGGAAATGTTGAGCTAATATATACTATTGATGATGATAATAGCAAAAAACGAATAAAACGAATATACAGTATGTAGCAAGCTAGTATGGACACATTTAGTAGATTTGAACATTACGAAGACAAAGTAGAACACACACATGCTACATGCTAATGTACATAAGGAAATGTTGAGCTAATATATACTATTGATGATGATGATAATAGCAAAAAACGAATAAAACGTATATACAGTATGTAGCAAGCTAGCATGGACACATTTAGTAGATTTGAACATGATGAAGGTGGAATTTTTAAAAATATATATTTTCAGAGTAGCTCGATGTGGGGTGGGAAAATTCTTGCATATAGCTTAGTCGCTGTGCGCGTACGTGTGCAAGGCTAGTCTAGCTGCTAACCGCTGAATTCCCCCAGTAGCATTCTACTGTTGAAAATGCAATATATGTTCCTACTTAAAACGACGCTAGTCACACCGAGCACTAAAAAAATGCTAACTATTAGTAGCGATGCAAAGAGGATATCAAGCAACTCAAACTATACAATTTTTTAAAAGATTTGAAACAGTCGCTTGCGTTAGCAATTTAGCTTTTTTAGCCACTGCACAAGGTTGCGCTATGGCTTGCTGTCCCGCTTTGCACCACGGGTGTTAAATAGTGAGTCATGGGTGTGCTAAGCTAAAAGGCACCTTTTTTCCCCCCAGTTTGTGATTTTCAGTAAATAACATTTTCTTGGCCGCTAGTTTGTCACTTACAACCCCAACGCGCTAATTTGTTCAGTTGAAAATATTGGGAGTTTTTGTGTCGGTGTGTGTGTGTGTGTGTGTGTGTGTGTGTGTGTGTGTGTGTGTGTGTGTGTGTGTGTGTGTGTGTGGCATAAGTCTATTCTGGCTGCTAACTGCTAACCCGTTAGCATTGTACTACTGAAGAAGAAGCACTAAAATGTCCCTACCTGCTAACAATGCTAACCGCATGAAGCACCACTTCTTGAGAGGGTTTTATTGCGTGAAATAAGATGTTTTAAGGATGTTTTTGAATGTTGTTTGCCATGAAAACAATGTTTTAACGCAAAATGTTTTGCAGATATTTTATGCAAATTTTCTCCAAATGTTCGATTTGGGGGGCATGGAGAAAAGGTTTACCAAAGCCTTTTTTGTTGTTGTTGTTGTTATTGTTTTGAACTTCAGATGCTGTTTTACAGATGGACTGATTTTTTTTTTTCCTCCAGGACCTTTATTTTGAAAAGTGCTACTGGGACCAGATGAGGGGCTTTTATTGTAAAAGAATGCGCCTCCTGTCACAACTGCCCATTGATTGATTTTGAATGTGTGGCTATTGATGTAAAGCAGGGGGGCCTCTTCCATCCTGTTCCTCGAGTGCCGCTGTCCTGCCAGTTTTTCACGTCTCCCTGCTGTCACACATCTGTGATTCAACCAATCAGGTAATCACTAAGGTCTGCAGAAGTTGAATCACCATCATGATCATTTGAATTGATAAGATAAAGATAAAACCTTTATTTGTCTCACAATGGAGAAATTTCCAATTTACAGCAGCAAAATTATGAAAGGGACAAATAGAAGAACAAAAAGTATATCAATAAATTGGGTCTTTACTGCAGGGAGAGATGGAAAACAGGTAGGACGGCAGCCCTCGAGTAACAAGATTGAAGACCCCCTATGTAAAGCATCGCGAGCGGGCTTTCCTGAATCAAATTAGCATTGAAATATTGAGCCAAAAACATTACGAGATGTAACAAGAAAGAAACAAGACTTGTGACTTTAAGCCAACTGGCGGGCACATCTCGCCAGTTTTGTTTGCATCTTACGCTACCGCTTTGTTTTCAACAAACAAAAGCAGCAGAGGCGGGCCAACAAATACCATCCGTGTCACATCGTTTTCACCTTTGAAGCAACTGATACTTAACACAAACGGTGGAGCAATACATGGAGACAGATATATAAAAATACGCATCGGCGTATAATCTTTTTCTTTTCTACGAATAATATTGCAGTTTATGAAGGTGTTGTGCCCATCTCCATCTTTACCTGTGTCTATTATTTTGCCCCTGGATGACCAGGGTGTACACACCAGAAACAGCAGCACAATATATCATGAAATGAAGGAGGAAAAAAATAATTTAAATAAAATGTCATTATGGAATGTTTTTATAAAGTACATTCTCCTGTGACATAAGCGGTCAGCCAGTAGACACTGATGTAGTCTTGTTTCTTGCTTGTCACAACTCCCACATAAACTTGAAAAGAAGTGACAGTCGGTTCCCTGTAATATTAGGCTTGGGAAGCTCTTCTATCAAGGAAAAGTGTGTCTTTGCCATGTATGTTTTGGACCCAAAATGTGCATTTCTGTTGTCCTGACAGACTCGCACAATAGCAATGAAGTGTCATTGGGCGTGACATGGTTAAGTGTGACAGTTGACTTGATTATTCTGTCTAATTGTATTTTATTTTATTTTTTCCCCCCAGACAGAATAATTTTAGAACACGAACTGGAACATTTAGTGATGGTGTTGCTTTTTATTTATCATTGTGAACATTTAATTTGAATATTAAGATGATAAAAAAATGATGATGATGGGTTTGAGATGAACACGGGGTAAATCGTTATTTAAAAAAATCACTTGTGTTTTGTTGTTTACTGTAACATTTTTATTCCACACACATAAAAAAATAGATACGAAATGTAAACATTTCAGAACATAAAAATTAGACACATTTAAAAAAATAGATACGAAATGTAAACATTTCAGAACTTAAAGTTAGACAAATGTCGTGCTTTAACAATGCCACAAAATCTCCAAATTCACTTTGAAAAACATTCCAGATGCCTGAAAATTTAAATAAAAAAAAACAAAAAAAGCAAACATTAAAATTTAAAGTGCGTTTTGATCTTGAAGTCATTTGTGGACGACTTCACTGAAACAACAGTGACTCCTACCGTTTATAAATCAGCAATTTCACCTCAAAACAAAAACGGGAAACAAATTCAGCATATTTCACCGGAAAGTGCAATTTGATGTGATAGCTGAGTGACATTTTTATGGCGTTGTTATCGTTGAGTAAATTATTTAGTTTCAGCCATCAACACAAAATTGGGCGGACAAGTTGATTGTGACAAGACATGAAAAAGTCTCAAGGACCCTTGGTCGGAACTGAACAGGAAGTCTGCCCTTTTGATGGTAAGCAGCCATTTTTAGCAAATTCCAGGGCTCATACTTTGTACGTAGTAGAACTCGTTAAGTTGACAAAATTCGCGTTTTTTTTTTTTTTTTTATATGTCATAACTATTTGGATGTTGGTGTTTTTACATAGGAGGTAAATGGAGAGACACCCCCTGCAAAAATATACAAATAGTTTTTAAAATATTAGGGGGGGTAGCAAATATGCAAATTTATCTGTGCCAAAACCGTGAGTAAGCGGGGGATCAGCTGTAAATTTATGTTGTGCACTGCATTTATCGGAAAACAAATATACTCTGCTGATAGCCTTATTTGTCCATACGACATTGTCCTGACTTTTCTTGAAGCGCATTTCTTCGACCTTATGTTTGCCGAGACATTTAAATATTTTCATAAATATAAATACCGCTTAGTGTGGCAGTGGTTAGCGGTGCCACGGGTTACAAAGCGCGTTGTGTTTACATGGTTTAAGCCTACGGAACGTGTCACTGGATTACCAGCGGATTAAATGCCACCCTCGACTGGACGTTTTCCTCGCCGTTGTCCGGTTGTCCGCTTTGCGGACAAAACAGGTGCTTGAGGAGGGCCGAGGCGAATCTCACCATCAACCGGAGTAGCAGGAATGCGAGCGGCGTGGCGATCTCCATGAGGTGGAAGATGGTGACGCTGAAGCGGCTCAGCACGCACGTGAGCAGGAAGGCGGCCAGCGCCACAGCCGGGTACAGCGCGAGCTTGGCCAGCATGAAAACGTGCTCGGGGCCACCGTAGCGCACGGCCGGCCGCAGCGTCCGCCGCCCCCCGCCCTGAAGCGCCGCCACCCAGGTGGCCAGCTGGAACACGCCGGCGCCGAAGACCAGGACGCAGCTGGCCTGCACGGCGCGCCGCTCGTCGCGCAGCGCGGCGAGCGGCAGCTCGTGTGTGAGCCGGAAGGCCAGCGGCAGGCCGCCGACGAAGGCCAGGGACAGCGTGTTCAGCAGGCCCATCGCGCGCGTGGCCCGAGACACCTGCAGGAAGAGCGAGTGGTGCGCGAACCACAGCAGGCCCACGGTGGCGAAGGAGCCCAGGTAGGCCAGGTACTCCGACCCGTACGAGCGCAGCGCCGCCACCAGGCTGCCGTTGAAGTGCTGCTGCACCGAGGCCGGATCGGGGACATTGTCCTCACTGCAAAACAGAAAAAGATTTGGGGGATGAATCCAATCAAAGAACGTGTCTTTTTACATTTTCAGCTCTCTCTTCAAAAACGGTGCAGAAAATATACAAACAAATTGATTCTGATGCAGAAGAACAAGCAACTATTTTGCCTCAATTCAAACTTCCGCATCTGGCAGTCAAAGGCTCCAAAGCTGTGTCTCAATCTTTTTGCTCATTCCATCTGCATCTGACAATCGAGACTCTTTTGCGAGTTAATTGGATTTTTGGTACCAACCAAATGTCCAGGATGAGCAGCGTGGCCACAATGGCATAGACACCGTCGCTGAAGGCCTCCACGCGCTCTTTACTTAGGGGTTCGCTGGGCAGGAAGGTGTAGAACATAACCTGCTCCGGATCCTCCTCCGCAGGACCTCGAAAACATCCCAATCGCACACTTGAAATACGCTGGAAATTATTTGAAGAAAGTTGTCGTCGGGAGAAACGAAGATGGCGCTTACCGAGGAGTTTGTCTCGACACCACAGGATAGCCTGGGAGATGTATGGAAGGAAGATGACCAGAGCCAGCAACACGTACGACTGACAAACGCACACAGAAAAATCTCACAACGTCAGGGACAACAACATGATACAGACAACCTCCAATCGAGAAAAAGAACAAACAAAAAAAATCACATCCTGAGCAACAACCTGACATCAGGAACAACATCAGGTCAAGAACCACAAACGCATCACATCAAGAACAGCCTCATATCAGGAACCACAAACACCACACCAGGAACAACAAAATCCTCACATCGGGTACAGCCTCATGTCAGGAAAAACAACACCGCAACTTCACATCAGGAACTAGAGAGAGTCAGGAGCAACAACAACCTCATGTCAGGATCGGGAACCTCACATCAGAAGCGACAACCACAAGTCTGAAACGACGACATCACACCAGAAACGGTAACACATCAGGAGCAACAAGATCACGTTAAGAGGAGCAACATATCATCAGGAACAGCAACCTCATGTGAGCTGCAACAGCAACATCGGAGCCACCCCACTTCAGGAAAAAGAACATCACATCTGGAACAACAACATGAGGTCAGGGAGGCCGGACCAACCAGCTGATAGCAGAAGAAGGAGCAAACTGCAGCCAGGAGGCACATGACAGGAACCCTCAGCAGGACTTTGAGGATGTGATGTCTGTACACGGAGCGATCCTCACATGATTGGATCTGATGCTGGAGCAGGAATGGACGGCCGAAGGCGTACAACACAATCACCGACTAAACAAAAACAACAACGACAGTGTCGGTGACAAGCCGGGCTCGAAGATGCTCATGCTAACACCAGACCTGAATGAGACCGATGACCATCACACAGCCGCAGAACAGAAGAATTCCCAGAACGTGTGCTGGAAAGTTCGCCATCAGCGAAAACTACAAGGACAAGAAAACCTCTGCTGTGATGTCATCGGCGATGTCATTTGTCAACAAATGGTGGGACCGTGACTGACCGTGTACGGCAGCAAGGTGATCAGCATCATGCAAGCCTGAAACCCCAAACAGGAACATCAACACATCAACAATATTGCGTCAGGAACAACAACAAATCTGGAACAAGAACCTCAAGTCAGGGTCATGCACCAAGGTGTTCTACTCACAAGGTTAAGCAAGGCGAGAGTGTCGTCGATGCGCACGATCACCTGGAATAACCTGCAACAGGAACAAGAATGGGTCAGACAGGAACTACAAAAGGTTACTTTGGGTAAAAAGGGGTGACAAATAGCTGGGCAGGAACAAGAACAACTCAAAGTGGAAAAAGAACAAGTGCAATGGCAACAAGTCAAACGGAAATGATAAAAATCACACGTGACAGAGTTGGACTGGAAAACAATGAAGGTGTGAAACAGGAAGATGCCGTTGCTGCGACGAGGATTTTTTTTTTTCCACCTGATGTGTGCAGCCCAGGCCACAGTGACAATGAGGAAGGTCATCAGATAGACGGCCACCTTGGTGCCCAGCAGAAGCTGGAGGTTGTCATCTAGCTCCTGAAATGGAGATGACGTTACCGCGGTAACATTGGACAACATTGATGATGTCATGCATTACCTCGTCGGCCTCCATCTTGGTGTGGGCCACGGGAAGAATCTGCCAGCACACACACATTTGTTAGTGTTGCTCATGTTGGCTACAATGGATGTCAAGGAAGCAAAAAAAATGAAAACAGAGTTGATGAATCGTGAATAGTATGACAAAAGTGTCGTGATACACAGCTCATGTGAACCAAAGTCAAATGAAACAAAGAATGAAACCATTACATAAAGCTAAGTTATAATCATAAACAAGTTTATGTTGTTCATATTAGCCTTAAAATACCCCCCCCTCCCCCCAGAAGGATGATATTACAGTACTGTACTCAAAACAGCACATTGGCCATTTTAGGTGGAAACTGCAAGAAAACGTTTGACTCTCCCGCCATTGTATAGCCACGCCTAGTTAGAAACATATGCCTTGCCTACGTCACAAGCACCTGCTTCGAGCCATTGGGCGGCTTCTTCATTCCTTGACACACTTCCGGGTTTGTGCCCAGCTCATTGTCTTACCATGACGGTGGCGATGATGGAGAGCAGCGCGTCGCTGTAGGCCAGCAGCCGGTGCGAGGACTGTGTGCCCCCGTGAGCTTCCTCCACCTCGACGTCGTCCGAGGCGGCAAGGAGGCTCTCTGTGGACACGGCGAAGGCATCCAGCTCCTCTTCCGCGTGCTCGCCGACGTGCTGCTCCTCCTCCGCCGCATGGTCGTCACCTTCCTGTCTGTCCATCGCGGAGCTCGTCAGGCGGCTCTGTTTGCAAACAAACTGTTGAGAAATCAGGTGACTTCAGGGGGCGGGGAAACCGGATGCGGAAGTATGACACGTCATACCAGCGTCCGAACAGAGACCTTTGTCTTATTCATTTAATTAAAATATTTGTAATTGCCTCACTATTAAATAAAAGTGTTTTTATTTACTAAAAGATCAAATAAGAACCTTTGTGAATGACATATGAATATATATGAAGGGTAACCACTTCTGGGAAGAAAAAAAAAAGTTGTAGTGTAACTTTTATACCTCTAGAGGGAGACAGCTGTCAGTTGTCCGTGGTCATGTGGAGAGATTTGTTTTCACACCAAAAAAAACAATAGTGATTAAAAGTACTCAGTCGCAAAAGATATTCTACATATATTCATAACCATATAAACACAGCAATGACCACTTGATTAATTTAATTCTTAATATTAAAAAGTGTCATATACAATAAGAGTAACGTAATGAAATCAAAACCCCTAAATATGTAGAGGTTGTTGCGGCATGCTAGCTTGAAAGAATAGTTGGTCGACTCAATGACAGCTGTGCTCTAAATGCTGCTTCATCTAACTTGCTCTGAAGCAGCTGCACACACACACACACACACACACACACA